AAATCCACCCTCGGAATTTCTATATATATATATATATTTTTATATCTCCCTCGTTACTCAATTTTCCGACGATTCGACGATATCAAGGTTCGTCATCCGTCCGGGATTCTCGATTTCCGGCGGGGGATGGAAATTAAGAGGGGGGGAAGGAAGAGAGAGAGAGAGAAATTCATCCGGATCAGGGGGCTGCCGTTAACGAGATTATTATTAAACCGAGATCTCTGGGCTCAGGGGGTTGTGGGGGAGGGGGCGAAGGGTTAAATTATCAGCATTAGCGTCGCTCGGCGTACTAACCGATTTTAATTAGGCGCGATTTATGGAGCCCCCCGGCGCACCCTCGGGTACCGTCCCGGACGAGGTCGTCAATCCTCCGTGGGGGTGGTTTCCAAGGGCGCGGATTTAAACGTCCACTTTTCCTCGATTAAGTCCTCGATGTGATATATCCTGGTGACGTATGCGGGGGGGTGATAACTCCGGAATTTCCGCGGTTCGCCGGCCGCGCCGGAACCGGGATTTTCCAAGGGCGCGCAATTTAAACGTCAACTTCCGATTAAGTCACGGAAACGTCGTCGGGGTACACGTAGGGCGATAACTCGGGTATTTCGACGGTCAACGGGTACGATTCGCCGGCGGCGCCGGAACTGTCCGGAACACGTCCGCTGGCACAAAGGGGCATGGTTCCGGACCGCGTCCGGATCGGCCGCGGACAAGTCCGCGGCTCGATGGCGGCAAACCCCCCGCAGGGTGGACACGCGTCGCCGCTCGGGAAGAGTCCTTTGATCGTTGAGGGACGCCCGGGGGGGTTTCACCCCACCTCGCACCCCTCTGTGCTGGGCGCTCGGCACGGTAGCCCCGAAAGTCTTGTCCAAGACACCGCCCAGGCAACCCATGAAGTGGGACATACGTAAAGTAGTCGTCTAAATTAGGTATATAGGTATAGCGAATGTATGTCGACCATGGAGCGGTATAAGTAGACGTAACGTTTATGATCGGTTTTACGGAAATTGGCCCCAGAATCAAAACCCAGCTCGGGCAACCCATGAAGTGGAATATACGTAAATTAATCGTGTAAATTAGGTATATAGGTATAGCGAATGTATATCGACTATGGGGCGATATAAGGAGACGTAACGTCTATGGTCGGTTTCACGGAAAGTGACCCCAGAATCAAAACCCAGCCTGGGCAATCCATGAAGTGGAATATACGTAAATTAATCGTCTAAATTAGGCCTATAGGTATAGCGATATATATATATATATATATATATATATATATCTTCCATACGTTCAATAAACATTTATATACGATTAATTTACGGATATTCCACGTTCAGCGGTGCTTGGTCGGCATCATCCTGATCCATCTCCTCCTCGACGGAGATAGACCATCAAGGGGGATGATTTTTCCTCCCGATTTAGGTGATCCGTCAAGAGGGAGGAATTTCCACCGGGAATTTCCACCGGGAATTTCCAGGAGTCTCCAGAGATCCCTGGGAAACCGCCTTCCGTGTTCGCGCGGCCTCTTTACTCCCCGGGACGCCGGAAGGACCGGGGGATGTTTATCGAAACGTGGGGTTCCATCCCCCAATGGGGTTCTTGAGATAACATCGACTCCTGTCCGTCCTCGACCGCGTCCCGGAGTTTCTTTGAATAAACGAAGGGAGGACCTCGGACGTCCGACTCGTCCGACCGAGGGTGACTCGAGGTTGGGGGCGACCGCCCCCCGGGTGGACGGCGCGTCCAATCGGACCGGGAGGGTCGTCTCGTGGGACGCCGGACGGACGTCGTCGCAGACCGAATCGAAGCTGGACGTCGCCTCTATAAATCCCGGGGTGCTCCTCGGAGTGCAGTCGGGATGTCGCGATGCAATCGTCGAGACGCCCCCTGGGGCGGTGCCCCCCGGGGTGGCCTCGTTAAGGTGATACGAAAGGCGCTGAGAAATTTAATCGACGTCGATAAATTAAAATTCATCTATACCCTTTTTTATATTTATGTTGTAGGCCTTTACAGTCAATGTTGTGAATTATACGAATTGAAGGGTTCCTTATCCATGATAAGTAAATAAATTTTTGATGAAAAATGAAATTTCATACATATATACACGTATATATATATGCTGACTTTTTCATATCACCTTAAGGGCGTAGCAGAACCCGGGGGCTCGGATTTCCTCGGCAGGGGGTAACGTCGCCGGCCGTCGACCGGAACTCTTTGGGGTGGCTTTTGCTCGTCAACGTCTGAGGGGTTGATAGAGTGAAAGATGCGAAAATCCTCTCGGGGTAGATCGGGGAAAAGTCGAGGCGCAAAGGCGCGATTCGGTAAAGGGGGTCGAGGGGGTTCCTTTGCACCCCCGCGGTCAGACCGCACCCCCCCAGGAGGGCCTCGTTAGACGTCCAGGACACCGGATACCCGCTTTGTATCCCCCGAGAATGGGGTGTCCCTATCCCACTAGAAGGAAACCGAGCTTCGCCTCATCAGGGGATGATCCACCCTTGGGATTTATCCAGAAGAGGGTAAAAAATGGAGACCAACGAAGGAGCCTCGTCGACCGGTCGGGATTTTTCCGGGGGGGAAATTGGAATTACCGGCCGGAAGGTGGGGCGTTCGTTTCCGCGGGAAAGATCGCCCTTCTTCGTCGGGGTAAATGATGAATACAACGGTCGAGAGCCGATTCACCCTTCTTTTTAACGTCCGGCAATTAAGGTGGGAGGCCCTTTCAGCACCCTTCGAGCCCTCCCCCCGGGACTCGCGTAATGAGATTCCCCCGAGACGCCGGGGAAAGGGAGGAAAAGGGAGATAAAAGAAAGCCGATAAAAGGGAGGAGAGTGAAAAATAAAACAGCCCCGTTAACCGGGAAACGCGGCCCCCTGGAGACGCCCGTCCTCGAAAGGAACTCTTAATCGCCCCTGCGCGCCTCTTTGAGGGCCTCTTCTTCAAAATGGCGGCGGTCTTTGGGTTTTCACGCGGGGTGTAGACACGGGGAGAGAAACGGGACCGCGAGCCCCTCCCTCGAGGATTTTCACTTCGGGTCCCTGGATTTCTTCCACCCTCCCGGAGCCCTGGGAAATCCTCTCCCTCCCACCTTGGGGGTGGACAACGCCATGGGGAAATCTTTAGGGTCTCGTGGAAGAACCGGGAGCCCGAAAGCTCTTAGCATGTCGTTGACTGTTAGCCGGGGTGGAAAAGCTCCTCCGAATGGGCCGTGACAATTTGAAGGGGGGGGGGGGCGGAAAAAGGGGGAAAATCGGAGAGCCGAAGGGTCCTAGGGGAAGTGAGTTCATGCAATTAGGGGAAATGAGATTTGTCGCAAAAAGCACCCCCTACCTCCCCGGCCGAGTGCCGATCGGTGTCGAGCGATCGTTTCCTGGGGGAGGGGGCTGGGAAAGTCGGAAATGGAGGAAGAGTGTCCGTCGGGGGTGTTATTAAGAGGGTATGAAACCCTCTTAATATACATATANTTCCTTCTTCCCACCCCGTTCTTCTTTGTATCCTCCCTCCTGCTCTCGAAAATCTTTACGCACCCTCGCCCACGTGTAAGAGAACCAACCCTTCGTTTAATACATATATATATATATCTATGTATGTATCTGAGGAGTCAAATCTTCAAATTGGGTGTACCGATTCGTATGAAATTTTACCACATGAATATGTAGGCTCTAAGGTAGGTCCTAAAACATATGAAATTTCAATTTTCATCAAAAATTTATTTACTCAGAATATTTTTTTCCCAAGAGGAAGATGTCGCAGAGGGGCGTAGCTCCGCGGAAATCGCGAGGAAACCCTCCCCTGCATCGCTTAGTAGGGTTGGTTTCACGGGATAACAAACTACCCCTCTCGGGGGGGGGGGAAGTCTGACGTCCCGCTCTAATGGCACCACTCGACGCGCGGTATCGTCACATGAATATTATATAAACCCGGGGAAGAGGAGGAGGAGGAGAGGGGTGGTTGCAACCCCTGGTCGGACCACCCTCTGGAAAGCGAGGGTATCCGTGAAAACGCCAACCCCATAACACGTGGGGCGCGCTCGGTTTCTCGAGGCATGATTATTTCAAGGTGCACTCACAAAAATTGCCCCCCCCCACCCTCCCCCTTCCCGGGAAAGGAGCAACCCCCTCTCCGATGGAGGCTCCTGCGGTGTCCGCTGAACGTGATCTCGAGGCAAGGGGAGGATCGAAAAGGGACAGAGGGGGTCGGGACAATTCGTGCGAAACCCCGGAACGGACGACTCGGACGGAAGGGGTTGTAATTTCACCGGGGGTGACTCGAAATCTCCAGAATGGCGGAGGAAATTCAGGAAAGGGCGAGGAAAAGGGAATTCTCCGCGGGTCGGTGGGGTCAAGGCCGGGAATGATTTTCCCGGGGGGGAAAACCGCGTCCCGTGCTTTTGCCGCGACTTTTGAGGGTGGCGAGCCGGGGGGAGGGACGGGAGGGATAGGGCGAAAAGGGGAGAAAGAGGGACCCCGTTCGTCAGGTATTCCCGGGCGACTCTTCTCGCCTCATTAACCGCGGATCAGGGGAGCATAATACGTCGTCGTCGCGGGGGGTGGCACTCGCCAGGGTTGAAAAAGAAAAGCTGGAGGGGTGGGCGGCAGGGGGGCGGNCCCCGAAGTGCACTTAGTTGCCGCAAAATTCCGTTTCTCGGTAAACTCTGAACATTGCGCCCCCGAAGGATCGGCGATCGACGCTCGGGAGAGAAAGATCGAAATTCCACTTTTACCCCCGTTAGTGAAAAGAAGCGGGGGTTGCGGGGTTCCACCCCCTACCTTCCCTGGACCCCCTCCATGGGGCGCAAGTAATATTCCGATTTATTTATGCGAACGCACTGCCCGGGTATTGATTTTGTTCGACGTTAACGCGCGCGTCGTTACCCCCGCCCCCCCTCCCTCCCAGGGGTCGAAAACAGCCGCGAGACCACCCTCGGCGAGGTCGGCGAAAATTCACCAGATTCCCATCCTCCGTTGGAAAATTTCTGAGGAATCATTGCATCCCTTCTTTTCCAGACGTCTCCACCCCTGCTTGCAGCTACATCCGGTACAGCAGTGCCGACGACGTGCGGCCCCAGGAACTCGGATTTCTCCATCTGGACTTCACGCCGACGGTCGTCTCGAAGATGAGGTGAACCTCTTCGCATGATTTTTCCAGATAATTTTTCCTTTGGGGATTTTCTCGCCACCCACCCACCCACACCCCCTCCAGGGAAGAATTTGAGATTCAATTTGAGGTTTCGACTCCTTTCCTTCTTCCCACCCCGTTCTTCTTTGTATCCTCCCTCCTGCTCTCGAAAATCTTTACGCACCCTCGCCCACGTGTAAGAGAACCAACCCTTCGTTTATGTGAAAACGTGTAAAATATCTCTCGGCACTTTTGAAGAGAATTCCCTCCCCTGTGGGGCTGGAAAATCGCGGGATTTTCAGCCCTGCGGATTCGGGAAAACGTAGAGAACGTAGAGGGGGTGGAAACGATCCAAGGGTGGGCGCCAAGGGGACGGATTCCTCATTTCGAGCCTCGGCTCCTACCCCACCTCTCTGCGTGATTACTAAAAGAAGGAAAAAGGGGAAAAAAAAGGGGTGGAGGGGCTTGGTTTCTCGAAAAGCCCATTTCCGTTTTTTCCTCGTCCCGGGGAAGAGCGAGCCGTCGAAGGAAATTGATAGGATCGCCGCCGGGCTCTTGGGGGTGGTTTCAGCTCGTGACCGGAAGGGCCTCCGGGGGTGCGAACTCGAAGGCGCGAGGGATGAAGGGATTCGGTCCCATTTCGACGGAGGCCCCTCCCCCGTCCCCCTTTCTCTGGAGCACTTCTTGCGAGGTCGAAGAAAGAGAGAGGGGAGGGAGAGAAAAGAGGCGAAAACTTGCCCGACCCGAGCCACCCTCCGGCTCTGGGGGTAGTTCCAGTCGGTAAGATTTCCAAGCTGAGCCCTCCCGAGGCAAAGATTGCGAGGAAAGCACAATTGCCCTCGGCCTGGCTTTCCGCGCGCTTACTTTTCTCCCCCTACCCCGCGGGGGTGAAAAGCCCCCGTTATATCGGCTCGAGACGCAACGAGAAATTGCGTCGCGAGCCCCCGTGACTGCAGCCCTCGCGGCGATAAGTCCACCCCACATTGATAACCTCCTTCGACGCCATAAGTTGACGCCACGCGAAAAATTCCTCCCTTCATATTTTGGCGTGGAGGGAAAATCCGGAAAAAAAAATCCATGGAAAATTGGAGAAAATTGTCGGAAACTTAGGACAGTTTGTACTCTATCCAAAGCGGAGGGTCGAGTCCAGGGAGGTTTCGGGGTGACGCCCGGAAGTCGGGGGTGCTCCGCGAGGCCCGATTCCTCGAGCTACCCTCTGGCGGGCTACCCCCGATTTTATCAGGTGCCGCCCCGGTGACAATTGTCCCCGTGTCACCTGTTGCACCCCCGGCCGGTCGATGTGTCTCGCAGTGCGTTAGTTTAAATTCTCGCCAGGGTAGCCGACGGACGTCCGGCGACGATTCCGCCCGGGCCCCCGGCGATATTGATTTCGGAACATCGGTACGCGCGCGAGGGAGAGAGACTCTCCTCTCGCTCTCTCCGTATTCCTTCTACTCCGAGAATTCCTATTTGCTTTCCATTATCGTTCCGCCACGGAAACGCGGCGATTTCCGCGTCCGAGGACAGTGGTCTCCCCCTTCGTCTCTTCTTCCGGGAGGTTCTTAAATACTCTTTGAGACTTGTTCTCGAGGAAAAAGCCGCCGGCATGAGGGGGTGCGGCCATTCCGCGCCGGGGAGGAAGTCGCGTTTTCCCGCGAACGTCGGGAAACGCCGCGAGCTAGCCCGCCACCCGGCGTCGCCCACTATTCCGCTCGGCGTCGTCCACTATTCAGCCCGATGTCGTCCACTATTCCGTTCGGTGCCGCCCACTATTCCTCCCGACGTCGCTCATTATTCCGTCCGACGTCGCCCACTATTCCGTCCGACGTCGCCCACTATTCCGCCCAACGTCGTCCACTATTCCGCGCGATGTCGCCCACTATTCCGCGTGATGTCGCTCACTATTCCGCCCAGCGTCGCCCACTATTCCTCCCGACGTCGCTCACTATTCCACCCAACGTCGTTCACTATCCCGCCCAGCGTCACCCTCTACTCTTCCTGACGTCGCCCACTATTCCGCGCGATGTCGCCCACTATTCCGCCCGATATCGCTCACTATTCCGCGCGATGTCGCCCACTATTCAGCCCAACGTCGCCCACTATTCCGCCCGGCATCGCCCACTATTCCGCCCAGCGTCGCCCACTATTCCGCCCGGCGTCGCCCACTATTCCGCCCGCCGCATAGTGGGGAAAAATCGGGAAAAGCTGGCCAAAATTCGAAAATCAACTAATCCATTTGAAACATGGCACAGGGGGTCTTCGAGATCGCCGATCACGAATTTGATATCAATTTTCCAAAGAACAAAAGAATTTTTCAATGATATTTGGTACTCGCCGACTTTCCAGATTGCTGAGAATGATTTCAATATTACTGTTTGAGAGATGAAAAAAATCCTTTCACCTGTTTTACCGACGTCGATCAAGTTCCTCTACGTGTTTCACTTCACCTCAACGCTCAGGATCGTTTCGGGACAGTTCGGGAAGTCTGCGGGGGGGAAATCGCGCCCCGGGGGCGATGAGTTTCGATCTTCGCCCGAGTCCACCCGGGGGCGGTAATTGGACCGGAAGTGGGCGACGCCCGCGCGCGTCACCCCTTTCCCTGCCCCTGACACGTCGACAGGGGTTAGCTAGGATACCCGCGAACCCCGGGGGGGGTCATCCGCTAGTAGACTTCCGGTCGGCGAGCAGATTTCGCCCAATTATCGAGATCGGCTCCTAATTAAAAGCTCGCTAGGGATCTCCCGCGGAAAATCCCGCGCCCCGGAGAAAGTCGGAAAGAACGAAAAAAAAGGGGAAGTGTGACGTATAAAGAGAAAAAGAAGTACCCCACGTCCAATTATCCCCAGGGGAAGGGCTGGTATATCTGATTACCTGCCGATTGCCCGTTGCCAATTAGCGCCGCGATCGCGCTAATCGAATGCCTGGCCGGTCGCAATTAGCGCCCAGTTTCTTCCCGAGTTAGCGTCCTGATTAAAAGTCACCCCCACCCGCCACCCCCTCTCCCTCCTCCCGTAATCCGAGCCCACCGATAGCGGAGGATCGCTCCGATATCTCGCCCCCTCCCCCTTGCGGATATCCATCCGAATTCTCCCGGCCGATATCCGGGGCCGGGACATCGTCCAGAGCCGGAAGTGCGGCCGGCGACTTATCCGCGTGAATAATTCATGGCCGCCGGAAGTGGAGAGAGATCGACCTCCGTCACGACTCTGATATCGCATCCCCCCGATATCCGATCGATCCGTCGACGCAGCGAGGCCCGCGCATCCGGTTCCGGCTCCCCGAAAAGGGGCCCGCCGGCCGGAAAATTCGAGCACGTGCCTTGGAAACGCGGAAAAGCGGGGAAAATGCGGAAACCGGGGGGGGGAGAAGACGGATGTGCGCGCGGTCGGGGAACCCTTGCCAACGCGTTCCTGGCGGTTTCCGGATACGCGGAGGCCACCCTCGCAGGCTTTCCACGGACTGCCCGTAAATCCGCGGATATATGCCAGTTCGGAATAGTTCGCGAGGGTTCCGGGGGGGTGGGGCACTTCCCCCCGCCTGGCGCGATACCAGAAGCCCTGTTATCAGGGCGCGAATCGGAGGAGGGTATCGGGGGACGAGGGGAGGAGAAAAAGGGAGGAAGCGCCGAAGAATAGAAGCGAGTCGACGTTCGGACGAGCCAGATATACATGGACCCCCCCAGGGGGTGGGGAAGGGGGTGAAACACCCCCCGTAGTTTTTTCGCGAGTCCATTGAGGAGATTCGCGGAGCCTCCACCGGGAGACAATGAGAGGTCTGACAATGGGAGGGAGAGAGGAAAGCGCGAGAGAGTGAGAGAGAGAGAGAGGGAAAGGGGTGACGAGAGATAGGGGAGGAAAAAAGGGAGGAACGGCAAAGGGGGAAAAAGAACGAAACGAGAGCGAGGGACTGGCCCGGCGAAAATGGGGCGAAACGGGGAAAAAAGGGTAATGGGGGAGGGGGTTAGCCCGGGGGAGCGCCATTTAACCTGGAGCTGAAGAGCTAGGGAGAATCGCGAGGGGGTCCTGGGGGACCCCGGGATAGTTGGGAGGGGCGATCCGCCGCGGATCGGCCGCAGGATCCGTGGGACCTCCGGAAGGGTGGATCTTCCCTCGGGGATCGAATTCCTGGGGAGAGACGCGTCGCGGGAAGCCGGCGGAAAATCGTGAGGAGGTCCTGGGGGATCCCGGGATAGGTGGGAGAGGCGTCGTCGACCGATCCGCCGCGGATCGGCCGCGGGATCCGCGGGACCTCCGGAAGGGTGGATCTTCCTTCGGGGATCGAATTCCTGGGGAGAGACGCGTCGCGGAAAGCCGGCGGAAAAATCCCGAGGCAAATTACGGGAGAAGGGGCGCCACCCCCCCGGGACTCCCGGGACACCCGGAAGCGGTCGATGTCGGGGGTCAAGGGGAGGGGGATGGAAAGGAAGGAAATGGAGGAGACCGCCGAGGGACACCGCAACCCCTTCGGAAGGTGGCTTTCCGATGAAACGCTAAACCCGGGGGGTCGTCTGGAATTTCAGGAAGAGCCCGAGGGACGCCTCGACACGGGACACCGGGGGCGGTCTTATTTCGTTCCCGGGGGATGAAAATAAGGAGGGAATAATCGGGAGGTCGGTTTTTCTTCCTGGAGGGGGACACCTCCTCTTCCTGGTGATCGATGACGAGGGATGGCCGGAGACGAGGAGCGACCGGAAGAGCGGAAGACTTCCGGCCATTAGCTCCGATAAGGGATTAGACTCGCCGGCCGGGCCTTATCACTCTTATCGGGGCGGGTCCGACGAACCGGACAGAGGTGCCTCGTCGGAACCGACTTATCTCTGGGTGGTATCCAGGATGTCCGGGACCCCCGTCGAATTTTGGGAGAGGGTCGCTGAGCTGATAACACGCGCTCCGATATCGGGGATGTGGGCCTTTGGCGCGTTTCCGGCCGCCGATTATATCCGACCGAATTTCCCACCGCGGGATGGAATTATTATATTACCAGCCCCTGGGCCGGGATTAATAGTTTTCGGGGGGGGGGTGGGCAAGGAAAAGGACCAGCCTGGCGTGGATATCGGCCAGTGGGTAGGCAGGCCTGCAGGGCGGTATATCAGCCCCGTCCGCTCGCCGCAATATACCGCCAGTCCGGCCTGTTTAGCCGTAATAAAGTGCCCCCCGCCGGAAAATCTGCCCTTTCCGGTCCCCCTTCCTCCCCCCGTCGCGCACTTCCGGTCAGCGGTTTCGGACATGGGAAAAAGGGCGAGGTAAGGTGGACAAAATTCGCCGCCCCCCCGTTTTCTGACGGATGAAAAGAAGACGTCAAGGAAACGGAGACCCTCCCAGGGGGTGGAGGAAAACCGGGGTGCGTTATCGGAAGGGGAGATTCAAAGGGACGAGTAGTCTCTTCATGGGGGTGGGCGTGTGGATAAGGGGATGATTTTTAAATAATTTCTTCGAGTAACCAGAGAGCGGAGAGGGACTCGTTCCGGAGGGTGTCGGGCACTCTCTGGAGGGCGTAGCTTCGAGGGGGGTTGATTTTAAGACCCCCCTCGTATATATTCCTAAGTCCACCCCCTCTGGGCCCGGTGTAAGTATCGCGCTAAATGGAGCGTGTTGGGTAACGACGCGTCCCTCTCTCTTTCACCCCTCCACCCCTGTATAACTCGTGCTCCGCGTTTCACCCCCCCCTCGAAACTTTTTCCTCCTCTTTCCCGGGGGGTCCGTAAATCATCTCTCGTCCTCACCCTCAGCCCTCCCTCGCGAGGTCGGGGCATCGATTCGAGGAACTCTCTCACCCCCTAATCATTATCCACCCCTTGAGAGAGCTGCCGCGGTCCATTGAGCTTGCTTCCAGTTTCTCGTCCCCCTCTTTTAACTCGTGAGGGATGTGTTGAGAAAAGGGGGTGAAATTCTCTGAACGGGGGTGTCACGCCTCGCGAGAACCGTAACGGCGCCTCCACCCTCGGGGGCGGGGGCGACGTCGGCGTCGCGACACCTCGTCACTCCCCGCCCCCGTTAATAACGCACCCCTGTCACGGTAAATAACAATAAAACTCCATTAATGTGGTAGTTAACGGGGCTGGCCCGAGGCCAGGAACACGGCGACGGCGCTATTTACCCCTTTCACCCTCCCTCTCTCATCTCGCAGCGCCCTCTTCCCTGGGGATGGTCTCATCCCTCGGCGCACAATGTGCGATGATTCCCGGCCGGAATTCTGGCCCTCGTCGAGGAAACTCGAAAGGGCGGGAAGAATCGGGAAATTCTGAAAGAAGCGGGGTGGAAAAAGAGCGATTAGAAAATTCCCCGGGAGAGAGGGGGTGGAAACAATTCGGCTCCCGAGTTTAGACGGGGAAAGCAATTACCTACCCCCTCCTCTCCTTTTTCCCTTTCCCCGAATCTCTCTCTCGTCCTCCGGGTCGCGAAGCTCGAAAACGAGTTTTCCGAAGTTCGCGAGGAGATGAGTAACTCGGGGGTGGGCCACCCCTTATGGGGTCGGGGAATGGGGTTGGAAAGTAAAATGAAAAGTGGGCAACGGGGGCAGATCGAGATTTCGTCCACCTTCTCGTGTCTAGGAAATACGACTCCCCACGTAGGTAGTATACGGGGGCTCTTCAATTGTCTTCTGTATCTAGAGGGGATGAAAAATGGAAAATGATAGTTGGACATTGTTTCAGGATCTCGGCGCCCTTCCAAGTCGCGGCCGTGGCCTTGATCCTTGCGGGGACCATCTCGGCGATGATCGGCCACTGCTATTCCGACCACAGGACTCTCGTGGCCTGCGGACTCTTCCTCCTGGGGGGTAAGTACGGTCTCCAGGACTCAGGGGGTGGACGAGTTCCACCCCCACGTGCGCCGCCTTGTATCTTCCTCCCCGGTTTATACTTTCACCTTCCCCCGTACCCTCCCAAGGGAGGACTTCGCCGGGGACATCCGGCGAGGTGGCGCGACAAAGGGGGATGATTCCGCCCTTACCCGGGAAATTCGCCAAATTCGCGATTCCCGATTCCCGATTCCCCCCGGGCGGGAATCACTGCCGTAAAACCGCGGCAGTAAACCGGAAGATCCGGAAGCGGAGGGCCCGTAAGCCCCCCATAAATCAGAGCACCCCCTAGCCCCGCCGTGGTCCGGCATCCCCCGGGGACGAGGAGCGGATTTTCCGCACACCCCTTGATCTTCGCGATTACGCGGCCCGATTTGGCCTAAAATCCGGAGGAACTCCTCCGGTTTCCGCGTCGTCGAGTTCCCGGGGGGTAGCGTAAATGCCAAGGAGGCGACCGGGGGGTTGGGGGGAGGAGGGGAACCAGGCGGAAAAAAATCGAGAACTCGGAAACGTGACCGGTGAGCGAGATCCTCTCGTTTTACTTTTCCCCCGGCAAGGGCCGGGGAAAGCATTTTCCACCCTTATCCCCCTACCCCTCCTGCTTGGCCTAATTCAGGGGCAGAAGGGTGCGAGAAATTATTTTCCGCCCGTTCCGGGGGATTCGCGGGATCTCTTCATCCCCTCTCGTCGCTTCATTCTCTGCCCTCCTTTATTTTCACTTTTTCCTTTCTTTTTCCGTCTCTCCTTTCCGCGGAAACCATTTCCCAGAGTACGGGGGGTGAAACTGGAGCGAAGGCTCCCCCTTCGGCGAGGACCGAGGCTCCCTTCCGGCTTATTTGCCGAGACGCGCCGTTTCCGGGTCGTTAGGGTGGCTCGAAGGGATGGCAGACTTAAGGTGAAGTGAAACCTCCCTCAAATCAGTCCATTCGAACGAAACACTTTTTTTTTTAAGGGTATTGGAAAAGACTGCCCGAAAATTTGACACATGACACGTGATCATCTAGGAATTGTCCTGACACGTTGGAAATTTGGATATTTCATAAAAATCATTCAACTTAGCCGAGACCAGAACCAAAATGGCATCGAGCTCATACGTTTCGATATGCAATTATTGAAGGCTCTGGAAATCGATAAACTCTCATTTGTATGGGATAAAGGCAAAAAAAGTGTCTTATGCGCTTCGGCATCCCCACCAAAAGGGGTATAGATGAATTTCACTTTACCGACGTCGATTAATTTTCTTAGCGCCTTTCATATCCTCTTAACCACTTCCTTTCCACCCCCGAGGTGCGAGACCACCCCGCGATGCAAGAGTAAGACAATATCTCGCGAGTAAGCGACCTTCCTCCCGGGAGTCCCTAATTCCGAGTTCCGAATTCCCGGTATAAATTAAGACCCCCGTACTTGCTTGGAAATTCCCGAGGGAGGGTGGAGAAATTCCCGGAGATTCTGGGAAATTCGCAATTTCGCAAAATTAGCAACTTCGCAGTTTCGCAAAATTCGAAATTGAGTGGATTTGAGAAGAACGAGTGCCATTACATTCCCTGGGAATCTGGGGGGACGAAGGAGAGAGGGGGAAGGGTGCCGCGAAAATAATCCCTCGGGATATCGAGCAAGTGCCTCCGGTAACGAGCCACGGGGTGGTAAAAACCGATCGGCAGAGGGTGGACGCGCCGATAAACCGGAAGCAGATTGTCGGTGTACCCTCGGTGGGGACGGGGGTGTAAGTGGTCCGGGATGGTCCTGGATATGGTCCGGGATATGGTCCGGGGTAGTCGGCGCGCTCTGCCGGCCGCGCCCCCCGCCACCCCCTGGAAATGCTTAGTCAGTCGACACCAGGAATTATAGGTTAGGTACAGTCCGGTGGCGAAGTCCGATAATCGCGCCCGGGCGGGAATCGCGAGGCCATATACAGGTCCGCCCACACCCTGGAGAAATGTCCGAATCTACTGGGCGACGCAAGAACGATGTACAAGGGCCTCCACCTCCGTTGTCCCGCAAGATGGAAAAAAATACTTCGGACAAAAGAGCCTTCTCTTTTCGAGCTTGGCAACTTTCGTTGGAAACGTTTTCCCCTATCTCCTAAGGGTGCCGAGATATACGCAGTCGTATCCTTGGGTGCGTCAGTTCCGGCGTATTTATTGGACGGCTTCATCCCCTGGGGTCTTCGGGGGCCCACGCGGGGAATCTCTCGGATATTCCCGTTAAGACGCACCCCTAACCGCATCCCCCGCAACGTCGTTTTCCCTCTCAAAGGGGAAGCATCTCCAGGGGGTGGAAAAGTGAGCGGACTCACTCTTTCTAGGGGGAAAAGGAAATAACAGACCCCCCTCGGCGCCGGCGAAAGGGGAGCGCGAGGAACTCGGGGGGTGGGTCGGCGACAACCCCTTCGCAGTTTCGCGGTGGCGACAGGGTGCAATCGTAATTCCTGCGGCGCGAAACAACGTCGTAAGGGGTGGCTGCCGGTTTAACAACAACTCCCGATATATACTCGGAACACCCTTAACCATCCCCTAGTCCGGCACGAGGCAAACTTCGGGGGCGATTTTTTTCGAGTCGCCAAAACTGGCGGCGTTTCCACCGCTCGGCTTAATCTTTTCCATCTGCGGATTAGCCCTGTCGAGCACACCCCATTCGCGGTGTCAGTCTTAATCAACCACCCCAGGGAGAAACAGGGATTCCGTCGGTCCAATTAAGTGGATTCACCCCCGCACCCTTGTCCCCTCATTTACTCGGGGTGCAGTGCCCTCGTTCTCCTCGTCCTCCGGTTTTCCCTTCTTCCCCTTGTCCCGGGAAAAGGGGAAAAGAAAAGTAGAAGAGGGGGAATTCGTAAGCCAGGGTGGCAATTTCCAGGACGATCCCGAAAACGAGGGGGTGTAAAGCCGAGGGGTGGTGCGTGGCTCCCGAGGAATGCAGACGCGTGCCCCGAATAAGGGTGGGACTCGCCCCTCTCACCCTGTATTGCATTTTCACGAGCTTTCCACCCCCGCCAATGGGCTCCAGGGAAGCCACCCCTAGCCACGACGCCCGCGTACGTAAGTAGGGGTTGAGATTTACGCGTATTACTTGCCAGGGGTGGTTTTGAATATCAAACTGTGGCCGTATAACGGTGTCGTCCTCTGCACCCCTTGAGCCACCCCTCTATACCAGGAGGCCGCTAGCGAAGACGTCCGTTTTCATCCCCCAGGTCGCGTCTCGTTCTGAGTCGAAATTCAGATAGGGTTGAAACCTCCTACGAGAAATAAGTATATAAATAGGAGGCGTGGGAATTAAATAAGTATAAATGAAAATGTCCGATATCAAACTATAGCCGTATACCAGCATTTTCCTCTGCACCCTTTGAGCCACCCCTCTATACCAGAACCGTTTTCATCCCCCAAGTCGCGCCTCGTTCTGAGTCGAAATCCAGGTAGGGTTGAAACTTTCTACGAGAAATAAATATATACATAAGGGGCACGGGAATTAAATAAGTAAAAGTGAAAATGTCCGATATCAAACTATAGCCGTATACCAGCATTTTCCTCTGCACCCCTCGAGCCACCCCTCTATACCAGGACCGTTTTCATCCCCCAAGTCGCGCCTCTTTCGGAGTCGAAATCCAGATAGGGTTGAAACCTCCTACGAGAAATAAATATATAAATAGGAGGCATGGGAATTAAATAAGTAAAAGTGAAAATGTCCGATATCAAACTATAGCCGTATACCAGCATTTTCCTCTGCACCCCTCGAGCCACCCCTCTATACCAGGACCGTTTTCATCCCCCAAGTCGCGCCTCGTTCGGAGTCGAAATTAAGATAGGGTTGAAACCTCCTACGAGAAATAAATATATAAATAGGAGACATGGGAATTGAATAAGTATAAATGAAAAGGTCCGTTCGGAGGGGAGGTTCCATGGGGAATTCTTCGGGGGAAGTGTCGCCGGGGGTGAATTCACGGGGCGAGCGGATCGAATTCCGCGGCTGTTCGAAACGCACGGTGGGCGGAGAGGGGGGCGGAATTTAATATTAATACACGGCATTCCTTGGGTGTGCGGAATCCGACGAATCCGGGAAACGCGGAAAGCCGAACCTACGGGATGTATCTCGTCGCCCTGGAGGGAATTCCGAGTCTTAGGTGTGCGTGCACGCGCGTCAGGGTGGCCGGTCCAATTTCCGCTCGGCGCCGTCTTTCGCGCCCGGCGGGCGTCCTCGCGGAGAGCCCGCGGAACGACCGCCCAGGGTGGGCGGAATTGCACGCGGGTACGCGTGGGCGGATTATGGGACGCCGTGATATGTTGCCGTCCGGGTCAAGTTATTTAACCCTCGCGGCGTAAACCAAGGCGGGTTGGCGGTCGATGGCCGGCGGGTATTCCGCCCGGGCGGAATTACCAGACGCAGTCCGGTAACCGCCCGTTTATTTTCCCTCCTTTTTATTTATTATCTCGGATCGCGAAAAGGAAAGCGACGAAACTGCCGGGCGGAAAATGGGGGGGAAGAAGGGAAAAGAACGAGCCGAGTGGGCAGCGAGTAAAACCGAGACACTCCGCGAGTGATCGCGATATCTCTCCTCGAGAGAGAGAAAGAGAAGAGGGGGAGGAAAGGGAGAGAAAAAAAGGGGAACAGGTGCTCGGCGGAGCTCGTATCGCGGCCATTTCTTTCCCCGAAAGCTCTTTCCCTCTCTTTCTCTCTCTGGTTTCCTCTCTTCCTCTGGGAGGCAGCTTCCCGAAGAAAATTCCCTCTCCCGGCGTCTCCTTACGGCGTTCGATTTTATTGCGGCATCCTCCGACGACAATGAACGTCCTTCTCCCTCTACCTCCCTCGGTCTGTCTTCCTTCCCTTTTCCGCGAGCTTTTTCTCTCCCTCCCGCTCCTTCCTTCCTTCTCGATTTTATTTTCCCATCCTTCCCTGACGGTGTTACAACCCGCGGGACGTATGACGCCCGACTTCCGGCGACTCCGCTTGCTTTTCCCCGCACGTACGGGGGTATATTCGGTTTTATTTGCTCCGTCCCCGTTTTCGCCCCAATCTTGCGGCAAATATTTGCCCCCCAGGCGGGATGCACCCCTGCGGAAGGGTAAATCATTTTTCCCGTGTCAACCGAGGACGACCTCGACCTCTCGGATCGGACCCTCCTCGTGTCCCGATCCGAGGGTATATATATAAATTCCCGAAATTTTCCGGAAAATGTCTCATCTCTCCATTTCTTTTTTTTTTTCTTTTATCTTGAGATCCAGCTCGGTTTACGCGCGAACGGACGGGGTCGTCGATTTCGCCGATGCAACCCTGACCCTCCTAGACCCACCCCCGATAAAAGCACCCCCGTGCGGACCTTAACGAGCGCCTTAACTTCTTGCCCCGCAATCAGCCGGTTGTTGGAAATTGTTTTCCGGCATAAGAGGCCCTCCGCTCCCCGTTAACCAGGTTTAATTGACAAACAACATGCCGAGAGAACGACGTCGACCCGGAACCACCCCTCGTTAGCGTCGACAGGGACGATTACGGGTGGTTCTCGAAATTCGGCCCGGAGGGGGCGAATCGGGCCGGATAATCCCCGAATAATTTCAAGGGGGTGGTTAGGGGTCGATCGGAAGTCCGACGGCAAAAGGCGTCGAGCGATGATCGAGCCACCCCTGAGACTCGGGATTTCCGGCCGATTTTCCTCTCTCCTCTCTTACCCATTTCCATGAAAATACAAGCCACCCCCTCGGAGGACTCGCCATTCTTATGATTTCAATACCGCGTGCTCGGGCGCACCCGGGAGGGGGTCTCCACCCCTCGAGACGGTCCCGGCTTAATTTCGATTTGCATAAAAAGCGACCGCTTAGGACGATCTCCCTAACCCCCCCGGGAAACGAGAACGAGGAGTTCGAGGGGCGGTCCAATTAGCCCTCTCGAGAACACCTACGATTACTTTATTTTCGATTTTCCGAAGGAAAACGACTTTTCCCGCCCCCTTATCAAAGGGAGAGGAGAAAAGTCCCTTAAGAGGATATATATATTTTCCTATTATATATCAGCCTATATGTATGTATATCAGATATATATTATATATTATATAATATACATATCTGAGAAGTCAAATCGTTGGGGAAAGTATTCTCCGAATTGGCTGTGCCGATTCGTTTGAAATTTTCCCACGTGAATATGGAGGCCCTAAGGTAGGTCCTGAAACTCATGAAATTTCATATTTCATAAAAAATTTATTTACTCATCATGTGGCGTGGTCCGTGAGCGTTTTCAATGATTTACGCTTCTTGGAGTGTTAGAATCGAAAATTAAGAGTTTCAGGACCTAGCTCGAACAATTGGACGCACCACCTTATGTTCCCACCTGAGTATTCAAATTTGCATTCCCTCCAAAAAGGGTATAGGTGAATTTTAATTTATCAACGTGGATTAAATTTCTTAACGCCTTTCATATCCTCTTAAAGGTGCCTAACGCTTCCAGGGATCGAGGGTAGGTCCTTAGAAATTTCCGGGGTGAATCTCTAGCTCTCGCGACGCGGCGGGAAAGCCCGAGGAAAAATTAATATCCCCGACACCCCGGGGGAGCACTAGCCGCCCTGGAGCACGGATTCCCGCTTAAACTTCGGTTTTACGCGTATGCAAATTTTTACGCCAGCCCAGGGCGCCTCTCTCGGTAGGGAAAACGCGTCCTTCCGGTCGACATTAGTTTTCAACGCCGTCAGTTTACGACCCCGTCCCTCCTCATGGGGCTGAGAATGAAAGAAAAGAGAGCAAGAAAGGGAAAACGCGTCGTACCGCGGATTTCCGCGAGGAAGGGAGGGAAGCGCTCGTCCATCAGGCATTTATCGCCACCCTAGGCCGTCCCTTAGAATCGCGTTGTCAGAAGGGATGATTACAGTAGATGGGGCCCCGTTAATCCGAGGATTAAGAGCGTTCATCCCCTTGTGGCGTAGGGCTCTCCCTGGGCGGAGGATTGATCGTCCTGGCGTCTGCCCTCTCGGACGCCTCCCTGGAGCTGCCCAGGAAGTACAGTCTGCCCTCTCCAGGACTCTCCCCGGAGGAGAAGGGCCTGCCCCAGTACCAGTACGGATGGTGCCTCCAGCTCTCGGGACTGGCCCTCATCCTGGCCGAGGTGGCGGCCCTCTTCACCATCTCCGGGTACATGGCCAGGTTCCCCACCGTCGAGGACATGGTAACCTAGCCTACTGATTTTCCTACCGCCCAACGCCCGCCAACTTATTTAACTTATACTAGGGGCTTGAGGGTTCCTCTTCCGAGGTGTGTAATCCAGGACCTCTTCTTCCAGGTGAGGGTGATGGTCCCTGGAGCCGAGAGGAAGCTGCGGGAGCAGAGGGGCCTGAGCTCGGAGTACTTGGTCAGGGCCCACCAGAAGTCCCCAGGGACTCAGCAAGCCCGTGGGTACCATCCAACCTCCAAAGGTGAGACCAGCTCCGGACCTCTCCTCCGTCCCTGGAAGAGAAGATCCAGGTAAACGAGGGTGAATTAAATAAGTATAAACGAGCGAAATCCGATTGCAGCGCCCCAGAGACTGGCCGAGGAGGGGACGTCTCTTCTGTGCAAGTCCGCCCCCGACATCTGCGCCTCCAATCCCCAGGCGATCAGCTACGTCGACAAGACGGATCTTTCTAACGTCTTGCCGGCCTACCAGGAGCAGAAGATGTTGGACACGCGGTTCTCCTACGTAGAGAAGCCCGACCAGAGCGTCGTCGACTCGAGGCTGAGCGGCTTCGCCGACAAGGAGGGCCTCATGGACTCGCGGATCCTCTCCGAGTCGAGGCAGAACATGATCGCGTTTACCGACAGCAAGGAGCACAGCTTGAATCAGGAGCCGAGGTACACGGAGTTCAGCGGTCGAGGGGAGCAGTCGGTAGTGGACTCCAGGTTGAGCGGCTTCGCCGATAAAGAGGGACTCCTGGATTCCAGACTCGCAGGGTATCCGGATAAGGCGGAATCCCTCCTGGATACTCCTTTCGGGTTCGATGCTCGTTTCAACAGCCTGGCCGGTCAGACCGTCCCCATCACCCTAAAACACCAGAACACCTCGGTCTCGGCGATCCAGTCGCAGTATATATACCAGAACTTCGGTACCATCCACTCGGGCATCCTGAGGGTCTCCGAGCAGGGCGCCAGCTCTAGCTCCAACTCCAGCCAGAGGAGCATGACCCTGCAGAATCCTAAGAAGAAGTCCCAAATCGCTCAGAATACCTTCAGCACGATGGAGTGCGAGAAGCGGAAGCGAGCCCCTTCGGGGAAGGCGGGCTTGTATGCAGGAAGCGCCGTATGACCGCCACCCCCGCCCCCGACGCCCAGGTAACTTCCGGAAGATGAGACCAGCCTGTAGCATCGGGGACTCATCCCAAGGACGCGAAGGACGTGGAGGAGACGAAGGGCTTTCAAGGGATCCAGGGACTCCAGGAACACCTAGAATTTAAATGGTTAATATCGAAATGTACATAGTTAAATATGGTGGTGGACTATTAAATGCATGAGGTGGTGGATGGGTGGTTATTCCTCCTCTCCTGGGGAGGGGAGGAATCCGACAAACCAGTCCAAATTAATCGGTCTCTAGTTCTAAGGCCTGTAGACGTTTACCTGGAGGGATCATCATCGAGGGCCCTGGGCCAAGCCTAACCTAAAAAGTCGACGTCTCGCACCCTCGTATTTTAATCCTATGGACAAAGCGAAGTTTAAATTAAGCGCCAAACTAACCCTAGACAATGTACCCGTAGTTATAGTAGGTGGTCGGTATAGTGGCGAACCTGGGTAGAGTATCAGGAAGTTGGTTTCGTCTTTTCCGAGGGGAATGGCACGACGGTTGGAGTTCATCGGGAGGCGAGCCTGTTCATCAATCCCTGACATATCAGTAACGAGGACGAGCTCCTAGGAATAATAATTAAATATTATACGGAACCCTGTGGAGCTGGACGGTCTCGTCGAGTTTTCGTTGTCCGTCTTCTCACTTATTTTTAAGCGTGAGGTGTAACTAATAAATCATTTCTCTGAATAATGGCTCGGTCCAGTTAAACGGTGGAGCGCGCCGTAGAACTGTAAGGCATGTTAAGCAGTGTTCGTAGATCGGTGTAATAAAATGGTTTTTATAACGAAAGAGACGCGACGTCTCTTGATATTTATTTATCGTTACTTTAGAACCTGGATTGTCCTTTGGTGTTGGTTTTCTTTCTTAAAGCTCGAATTTGAATTTGAACGAGCGGCGCGCTGTCGTGGCGCCATCTCTGAAACCCATAGGGAACCTCGACGCGCCGTATCGCCATCTCCGAAACTCTCCTGGAACCTTTGTCGCACGCGCAGATATTAAATTATCACTAGTACACCTTACTTACTTATCAAGAGCCAAATGAGCATTCGTCGAATTCAAGTACTTTCAATGTTTGTGGAGGACCGAGGATACGGTAAATATCGAGCTTTTAAGAGGATATGAAAGGCGTTAAGAAATTTACTCTACGTCGGTGAAGTAAAATTTATCTGTACCCTTTTTGGTGGTAATGCTGTTTTGAATACTCAAGTGTTAATATAAGCTGGTGCGTCCCATTATCGACACTTATATTTATGTTGAAGTCTTTTATATATAAATATATACATATATTAAATATATATATTTAGGCTGACTCTTTCATATCCTCTTAAAACTGTATTCGACTCTCTTCGACATGTCGCGCGGAATCGGTGGTAACTCATAGGTGGCGACGGGATTCCTCGAAGTTTCGCTAGATGGCGCCACGTTCGGACCGCTCGACCGTTGGCAGTTCAGCCTGCGTCGTGACGGCGTCCGTGCGTTTATCGATTTCTCCGGGAAATTTACGTGAGATATCGCTCTGGTTTTCGGTACAAGTGTTCCCCGGTCGCGTCTCTACAACTGGATGACATAGAATTCCGGTTATTTGGTAAAAATAAGTGTTAAAAGTGGTGCTTCCTGTCGAGCCAGCAGTCGGTCGAATTCCAACATGGCGGACCTGATGGCGTCGGTACGAAGACAGGCAAATCAGTGATTTCCTCTAACCAGCGATCATCCAGAGAAGTCCTCGTGCCGAATTTCTGAATATTTCTACGAAAAGAGGACAAGAGGAATCGATTCACCTGGCTGCGGTAGTCAACACGAGTGAGTACAGTTTCTTTATTCAACGGTAATCGTCGGCAGGTAACCTACTTCGTGCCGACTGACCGCTGATCAAAATATTTACCTCTTTGTCCGGGAGGTTCGCATTCCTGTCTGTTTACTATTCTCACGAGATGTCCCTACGGCGTCACAATCGACCTAATGTCTCATTACCCCGCGCGTAATTGCGCAGGCAATTAACGGGCGTCGTTTAATATTAATCCGCGATTTGAATTCATTTCGATGCGTTTAAAATTTATTGAATATGTCGCCCGACGCGGCAGGGATTGATTTTCGGTACACGTTTTGCATTAAGGTGAAGTGAAACCCCCTTCAAATCAGTCGATTCGAATAAAACACTATTTTTTAAGGGTATTGGACCAAACTGTCCGAAAGGTTGACGCATCACTCCTGACTATCTAAGAATTGTCCTGACACGTTGAAAATTTGAATTTTTCAGGAAAATCTTTTTCGATCAGAAATTTCGATCAGTATACAATTATTGAAGGCTCTGATATAAGATATGAAAGTGTCAGGACAATTTTACGACAATTTAGAACACTCTGATAATCGATAAACTCGTATTTGAACGGAATAAAGGCAAAAAAAAACTGTCTTATGCACTTTTATGCTAAAACGATGGTAATACGAAGTCTCGGAATGAAAATTTCGTTCACATGGAAATCACAGATGGCGCAAGGGGTCCCTCTGCAGTGAACTAGGGCCTCGGAAATCACGAATCCAGAGGATTTCTGGAGTTTTACTTCGATTTCTTAATAATTATTGTACGAAAACGACAGGTGGAGTATGCCATTTGGTACAATACTCAATATAATTCGACACAGCTGTCAATATAAAAAGAAACGTCGGCACCGAAGATATTTAGAATAATCATTTTACCGACGTCGATCATGTTCCTCGACGTGTTTAACTTCGCCTTAATAATTCGGAATGTTCGGGAGGATGGAAAAATTCGGACCCGGTAACCGGGACGGAATTAATATACTTTTTGCCGATCGGGGCGGCGCCGTAAATCGCGGAAATTCGCGAAAAGGAGCGAGGGATGGCGGCGCCTCCCCCAGGCCCCCCGACCCCTCTCGCTGTCTCCCTCTAATCCAATTAAAAAGGCGGACGATCGCACGAAACGAAACGAAACGAAACGGCGGCATCGACCGCCAGTCGCGTCACGGGGGCGGATTTTAATTGATGTCCCGGCTCTAAGGGAAAGGGGTGGCTTCACCTGCGCGGATTCGTTTCCGGGGCCCCCCTGGGGGTTGGCGCCTCCACCTCTGGGCCCTATCTCGAATCGTCATCGAGGCGACCATTTATCGGCCCGACTGCATTATTGGCTTTTTCGGGAGCGAGGGAAAGGGAGGTAAAAAATCGGGGCTGCTCCGCCCCCGGGCGATCTCCCGGCGAAGGGGAGAAACTCGAGATTTTCAGATTTTCCTGGTTTTCCTGATTTTCTTGACGAATCATTGTTGTATAAAGTACGATACGGTGATTTCCAGATGCCTGGAATTGGGGGAGGAACGAGAGGAAGAGGAATAATGGGAAATGTGGAAAATCGGTCGATTGATGGAGGGTGGAGGATGTACGATGTTTCTTTTCTTCCGATCAACGTTTTCAGATTTTCCCGATATTCTTGACGAATGATTGTTGTATACAATATGATACGCTGATTTCGAGATGCCCGGAATTGGGAGAGGAACGAGAGAGGGAGGGAATAATGGGAAAGTGGAAAATCGGTCGATTGGTGGAGGATGTACGGTATTTTTATTTCTTCTGATCAAGATTTTCACATTTTCCCGATTTTCTTGAGGAATGATTGTTGTATAAAATACGATACGATGATTTCGAGATGCCCGGAATTGGGAGAGGAACGAGAGAGGGAGGGAATAATGGGAAAAGTGGAAAATCGGTCGATTGGTGGAGGGTGGAGGATGTGCGATATTTCTTTTCTTCCGATCAAGATTTTCAGATTTTCCCAATTTTCTTGAATGATTGTTGTATAAAATACGATACGGTGATTTCCAGATGCCTGGAATTGGGTAAAGAACGAGAGAGGGAGGGAATAATGGGAAATGTGGAAAATCGGTCTGTTTGAGGAGGGTGGAGGATGTATGATGTTTCTTTTCTTCCGATCAACGTTTTCAGATTTTCCCGATTTTCTTGAATGATTGTTGTATAAAATACGATACGGTGATTTCCAGATGCCCGGAATTGGAAGAGGAACGAGAGAGAGAGGGAATAATGGGAAATGTGTAAAATCGGTCTGTTTGAGGAGGGTGGAGGATGTACGATGTTTCTTTTTCTTTCCCCCGATCTGGATTTTCGTTGTATATAAATATAAATAATATACGGATGCGGGGGATAACGGAACGCTAATTTCGAATTGAGGAACAAAGACTGGGGATGGAAATGAAAGAAAAAAAAGGGGGGTTGCCGGGGGGGGGGAAAAATTGGAAACGAGGGAAAGCACCCGGTGCTCCGGGTAGGCTCGTCCCCGAGCAATCTCGCGCGGGCGCTCGCGGGAAACGAAGGGTGAAAACGCGCAATTGTCGCGGGGCAGGGAAATAAAGAGGAAGCGAGGATCCGGAATTACGAGAGTTACGGAAATGCCACTCTATGGCGGATGTCGGGATCGAGGATCGACCGCCATCGCGAATCCGGGCCATTATTCCATGCACCTCCGATAAGCCGGCTCGGATAAAGCGCGACACGCGCGACTTTCCCTCTTGTAATAACCTAAGAGGTAATGAATGCACTTTTCTCTCTCCCTCTCCCTTCTTCGGATTACTTGGCCCGGTCTTTTACCCGAGGACGATTTGCCCTCACGGGAATTTCCGTGGCCCCCGGTTTCTCGATCGATCTCCTCCGAGGCTTGTGATCTCGTTACGATGCGCTTCCTCTTGTTATCCGAATTTTGGGGATCTTTAAGGTGAAGTGAAACCCCCCTTCAAATCAGTCGATTCGAATACAACACTTTTTTTTAAGGGTATTAGACCAAATTGTACGAAACTTTGACACGTCACTCCTGACCATCTAAGAATTGTCCTGACACGTTGAAAATTTGGATTTTTCAGGAAAAGCTTTTTCGATCAGTATACAATTATTGAAGGCTCTGATATGAGATACGAAAGGGTCGGGACAATTTCACGACAATTTAGAACACTCTGGTAATCGATAAACTCAAATTTGAACGGGATAAAGGGAAAAAAAGTGTTTTATGCGCTTCTATGCTAAAACGATGGGAATACCAGGTCTCGGAGTGAAAATTTAATTTACCTGGAAATCACAGATGGCGCAGGGGGTCCCTCTGCAGTCAATTAGGGCCCCGGAAAGCAGGAATTCAGAGGATTTCTGGAGTTTTACTCCGATTTCTTAACAATTATTGTACCACAACGACAAGTAGAGTATGCCATTTAGTACAATACCCGATACAATTCGATACAGCTGTCGATATAGAAACGAGAGTCGGCTACGTATGTATTTAGATAG